AAAAAAAAAAAAAAAGACAGAGCACAGCAGGAATTTAGAGCTGGGAAGTTTACCAGGAAGCAATAGTGGCAATTGATCACAATTCCATTACTTGTAAAATAGGACTTAGAGCTGATTAAGAAAGAGTGAGGGGAATAGAAAGGTGGAAGTTTGATGAGGCTTAGTGGAGAATAATTAAGTCTAAAGTTAAGCATGGGTTAGATAATGTTAGGCTGGAGGAGGACAGAGATGACATCCAAGAAAGCTGACTAAGCACAGAATAAATGCAGTTCAGGAACCTGCTCCAATGAGTAGCTAAAGAGTACAGAGGATGATGGTGCCATAGTGAGATCAAGAACATAACACAGCAGTACTGGACAGAAACAGCTTTCAGGCAGCTTAAAAGAAGCACAATATAAAAAGCTCAGTAGTAGAGAGGAAACCGTTAGGAAAACTAAAAGTACATTCTTGCAGGTACTTGCTACAGTACTTTAGGAAGAACTACACCAATTCAGAATGCATGGAGTACAGTTAAGAACATATATGTCGGGAAACAACAACACTATCCAGTATTAGTAGATCAAGGAGCTACAGGAAGTAAGCAGCTACAAGAAAAAGCAGAGATCCTGGTTAAAGAATTTTATCAGTAATTTAAGTAATGAAGAGACATGTGAGGAAAAAAATAAAGGAATAAAAATGAAATGTTAAACCAGGAAATTCCTGGAGAAGAGGATTGTTCTAATAATCAGTTTTCAGTGTGTAAATTAAATGCATGAAAATGACTTCCCCTGAGAAGGATCAGGTGTGTTAGAGGATGGACTGAATGCTCTGCTGCTCGTTTACAATAGAATATGACAGGAAGCTGGAAAGAAGCTCTAATAATTCCAATGGTGAAACCAAGGAAAGACCTCACTAAGACTACAGGTTATAAGCCTGTAGCTCTAATTTCTCATCTAGGGAAAGTCATGGAAAGAATGGCAGTGGACAGACTGATGTATGTGACTGAAAGAAGGCACCCGAAAGAAGGGTTTTCACCTTTTCAGGAGGAGGAGGAACACCATGCACACAGCAATCTGCTTAGAATCAGAGATAAGGAAAGCTCAGGGAAATAATGAATTAGTGGGGACAGTTTTTGGATATAGGATGTAGACTACAGACCTTAAGAGTGGAGAAGTCTGTTTTTTAGAGGAGACATGTCAGATACACCTGTGTAGACTTGGACAGGTAAATGCATTAGGAGATGAGGTGTTGCTTATATTAGCCAGCTTAAATGATGGAAAATAAATCAGTTGTTCCTGGTTAATATTTTGTGTTTGCAAACAGTATCACATACCCAGGCCTAATCTGTACATACATCCAAAATATACTGATTTTATTGGAGGATAATCCACTAACATGTTTTAATGCACAAGTTCATGTGATTTCTGTGCTGGACTACTGCCGGACTCGGTCTGTGGCTTGCTGCTGATAATAAAAAGTTAAATTTAATGCAATTCAATTTTATTTATACAATGCTAAATCTGTAAGGTAGACCCTAAAATGATCAGAATCAGGATACTTTATTAATCCCTAACGAAATTATGTGGCTCCAGTTGCTCCAAGACAACAATAGTAACAGACTGAGCTAATTAAATAACAGAATATATTACAAAACACTTACAAAATATAAGAAATGGCTCTAATACGTAAACATTTTTGACATTTGATAAATAAAGTGGAAACATAAAGTATAATCTTATGTAAAACATTAGGAGCTACATATAGGCGGTGCAAAATTTTGTTCTGGGTTTCTAGCAGGGGGTTGCAAGTGAAAGAAGACCTAATTATATTAATGGCTTCTTTCCAATCCTCCTCTGTGTATTGATTATTAAGATCTTCCCATTTTTGAATAGCACGACTGTACAGCTACTATGAGCATACAGTAATGAGTAAAAAGTAGAAATAAAATGAGTTTGGTCCTTTATCATTTCTTTTTGTTGCAGACAACTAAACTCCACAGTGGAGATGGTTGTTTTGTTTTTGTTTTTACCTGTCCTGTCTGACACTGGAACTGGAAGGGACAACAGTATTAGCATTAGCGGTTAATGCTAATTCACATCAAAGTACCATTAGCTGCTAATGGCAGCTTACTTAGCATTAGCTAGTCACACTTTTATAACACAAGGGAAAAGGGTATTAGCGTTAGCTATTCACATTGTTAAAAAGGAAGGGAAAACAGTATTAGCATCAGTGGATAATGTTAATTTATTTCAAATTTGCATTAGCTGCTAACGGTGGCCTACTTAGCATTAGCTGCTGACATTGTTAATAAGCAAGGGAAAACAGTATTAGCATTACCGACTAATACTAATTCACCTCAAATTGGCATTAGCCGCTAACAGCAGCTTACTTAGCATTAGCTGCTAAGATTGTTAGAAAGCCAGGGAAAAAGGTGTCTGAAGCTTCTCAGTCATCCAGGTCATCATAGTCTAAGGAGCTTGGAAAGAAAAGCGTCTGGACTTCTTTAGGTTGCTTGAAAGGGAAGGTATTATCATTAGCTGTTTTTTTTTCACCTTAAATTAGCATTAGCTGCTAACAGCAGCGTACTTAGCATTAGCTGCTCACATTGTTATAAAAAAAGGAAAAAAGGGGGTATACACATTAGCTGCTAATGCTTATTCACCTCAAATTAGCTTTAGCCACTAATGACAGACTACTTATCGTTAGCTACTCACATTCATATAAAGCAAGGAAAACTGTCTTGTCATTAGTTACTAATGCTAATTCACCTCAAATTAGCAATAGCAGCTAACAACGCTAATCAGAGCAGTTAACCCTGCTAATCAGATGATAATATTCACATTACTCAACTCCGTAACTGTCATTGGTTGTGTCAGACGAGCTGTTCAGTTACCATGGTTGCGTGAGCTCTGCTTTATGTTGTCAGTGTGTACAGTACTGTATAGATGTACAGTAACAACACTGACACCAAAAGGAAAAAAAACAGCTGGCAGCAAAGGCAGGGAGGTGTCCTTTCCAGCTTAACAGAAGAAGAATATA